CGGGACGTTTGTTATTAGTCTAAAAATGATTTAATATAAAATATATTTTTTTTAAGAAAAAAGTATATTTACTTTGGTCCCCCCTCTACATTTGATCCTGGGAACGCCCCTGTCTATAAACCAATGTTCTTTCCGTTAATTTTCGTACATCGATTGTAAACGTTGTTTAGCTTCATATTTAATATGTAGATTTTTCTGTACAACATTTTTTCCTCCTTTTCCAACATCAGTAATTCATCTTTTTTTTCAACATACCGATTTACGCTAGGTGCCTGATAGTGTTCCAGTTGTTCCTTCAATAATTGTAGTACTTTCAATTCTTTCTTATTCTCTTTTTCAACACATTTGGCTCCCTTCTCAAGTTGCGAAACGTTTTTAATGACATCAATTGTATTGTTTGCAATTGATTTAGATTCTTCCTCAATATTGATCATGATTTGTTTTTCTTCGGACATGGCCAGCGATGCTTTTTCAGTGACGCTATTCAGTCCAGCCATATGTGAATTTTTTTCGTCGACTGCGTTAAGTAGTTCATTACGCTCAATCATCAATTGTTCGAAATCAACTACCCTCAGTACAACACTGAGATCTGCCTTTGTAATGAGATCGCTACGCAGTTGTTGACAATTTTCATGTAAGGCTGTGTTGCGCAGTCGCAGTGTACTGAGCAGGGCACGAGCATTTCTGAGCCAATTGCTAATGAATTTTTGGAACTTTCGCTCTATCTGTTTTTCGCTAGCGGCCTTCAGAAATAAAAGGTCACGCTCATCCTTTAGAAAGTGTAGTTGAAAATTCTTTAGTGTTTCTTTGTTTTCGTTATATCTGAATATCAACTCCTCTAACCGAGCATTTAGCAACTTAATTCCATGCATTGCTGTAAATATTTGTTATTATTAAAGTGTGTAAATGTTAGTAAAATTTTATCAACAACGATCTTCTGCCGTTATCATTTTAAATACGCTTTTATTATTACTACATATTAGTATTTTCGTACCTTTAGACTCAGTATCTTTTACAAGTTTTTCAACTTCGGTTGTCGCTTTCTCGGCCATATCACATTTGGATTTACAATTGAGCCGGTATTCAATTTGTCCGCCATGCATGCCTCCCGGCCCACCTTTTTTTGAAGCTGCTGTGTAGTTTGACTGACTTGTGTTGTACATGGACACAGTTTCGGAAGGCCTAGAACCAATTGAACGTCGTGGTGTTGCGTTCGATAAATAAGTACTTCCTCCAGAACTTGACGCTGTTGTCACGTGTCCCGTGATTCTTCTTGGCTCGAGACCAACTAACATGTTCGGGTCGTTTCGCTCCAAAAAGTCTGTAAGGAAGTGATTTTCTAATTTAACTGAAGCCAACTCACGGTTGATTTCCTGAACTGCTGTGAACATATCCAAAGCATCATACTTTTCTAAGTATTGGTTTTTTGCATCTTCGTTCATCAACCGAAAGAGGTCTAATTGCAGATTATTGATAAATGATTCCAAAGCGAAGTCGGCAGGACTCTCTCTCAGATTGATGAGCAGACATTGCATGTTACGTCTTGAAAAATAACGCGTCCCGCTTTTTTTCTCTTCAGGAGAAAATATATACATATAATTTATTTTATGGAATTCTATTTGAAAATTAAATTGAAGGCGGAGGTGATTTACAAGGTTAACTTGGTAAATATTTTGTTTGCTGTACATTCTTCAGAAAGATGGGGCGAATTCATGATTCAATTATTAAAGGTTTTGTAAGTAGCTTTTTTCTAAAAAAAGGTGTGGATAATAGTGAATGGTGGTATTTTAAAACAAAAACGAATTTGATTTTATTATTTAATTTAAACAAGCTTATTTACATCGAATATAACCCCCGATTGTTATTAAAAATAAATATTTCTATGTTTATACCAAACTTGCGTACGTCATATGGCGCATAACTCGAGAATGGATGGTCCACTTTCAGCTTTTTTTGTTGTATTTGTTTGCCAGTTGATGGATATGAAGAAGCTATTTGTTTGCGGAAAATATGCAATATTTATTAAACAAAAAAAAAAAAACGACAAATAAAAAATTTGGAGCTTACGTTTCTTTCGCGGTTATGGCTCGATTGTTTCGAATATGGTAATTCGAATTCTTTGATGTCGCACTTTTAATGTTCTGGGGAGAATATTCAACACTGGCTTACACAGCCGCAATTGAACATTCGTGCCGGACGAACTCAGGAAGAATAAAAAGAACACGCAGCTACTGAACTTCTGAGATAGGGAACGTGATCTACATCGTAAAATGAGAAGTGGCGTATGGGGGCTTTCGCACGAGGCGATTTTTCAGGCAACTTTTGCGTTCAACTCACGCCGGGTTGCACGAAAAAAATCGAGTGACCAAAAATATCAAAATATAAAAAAATATCAAAATATTCGCCATAAAAAGGCGTTTGCATTGTTCAACTTTGCATTCTACTTTTGGTTGAACGGCCTTTCAACTAATCGCTTTCAACAAAGTTGGTCGCCAGCCAACATTCGCCTCGTGCGTACACCTTCTAAGTGTGCAATTAGATCGCGCCATTGACTAAACCGAGCTGTCGTGTGACGATTGGGCCTATGGATGCAGTTTGGCAATGTTATATTGCGTCAAAGTCTCATTCGAAGATACCAGGATTGTGTTGTGGAGGACAATACCTAAATACCGTCGTTGGCTCATTTACCAAAACCATTGCACGCTTTACTTTACAGCGACTTGGCAGAATCAAGAGGTCTCCACGAATATCGACAAATACATTTCGGCATTTAAGGGAATTTCGTCTCTTTAGCCTACATTGAATTTCTGTAGTCCAACGATTCTCACCCATTTTGTCTTGTTGGCGCCAGCGAATGAAGAACAAAAACTTCTTCAAATTTAAAAAGTAAAAATTTCACTACTAACAATTTAAAAATGTTCTTAAAACTTGCAAAGAAATTTGGAAAAGAAATATCGCTGTTTTTGTTATTAGGAGTAGGGTGGGAGTGTCATTGATAAAATCAGAGCGAGAGAAAGTTTTTCTTAAAAAACCTTTTATTATTGAATCATGGGGCGAATTCACGTAAGGTAGTGTTGCTAGAACAACTGATTTCATTCTCCTTGGTACTCATATCGTCGTTTAAAGCAGAGATGTTCAACAAATTTAAGTTACTGAGCCAAACGACAACAACGTCAATACCAATTACAACAACATCGTTCTAGAAACTGCAAAAAATATTTCAACCCCAAAATAACAAATCAATTACCTTGTTTATACCTACGCAAGAACCGTATAAACAAAGAGCTGATTTGACTCAACACATATGGGCATAACCCCAAAAAAGGTAAACCGAAAATGCAAGTAAATGAATTCTAACGGGTTAATAACTTTAAATTTCAGATAGCGAAAAAAGGTATTAAAAACGCGAAACGGTGGAGAGAAGAACTGAAAAAATTATTTTAGTATGTGTTACAAGTAAAAATATTGTATGGGGGAAAAATCTGTCACATCCGATATGTCACGTCCGTTACCAGATTTTAATTCAAAATTAAATCGACAACGAATTGCTTCTGATTAAAAATGAATTGGTTGTAACGGTCCATAATTTGATTTTATTTAAAGAAGATTTAATAAAGGAAAACCTTACAGGATTCGCTGAGTCTTGCTTATTTTTACATGTACTCTGAAATCACTTCTGTTTTTGTCGCGTCCGTTATGCCTTTATCGATTTTCTCGACGTCAGTGTTGCAAGCGCACCTAATTTTTTGCCAATTTGTTATTTTTATTCTATATTTCTTAAATAATTGATTTGCGTGGTGGACCGAAATGGAAGCGAACAAGAATTAAAATTTGTTATAATAATAATTTAAATTTAAAACGAGCAGTATAAAGAAAACCAGCCTTTTTTCACTTCGCGTCAAATGAGTGACGTGTTTATACCTGTTTTCTAACCGATGTGAAAAAGCCATTTGAAAACAAATTCGAGTCAATACACTTTTGAATTTCTGAGCGTAATGAAAGTTTGTTTATGCTTCCGTTTTGAATCACAGCAAACTCGGTCAAAGCGCTTTATGTGTTGGTATAAACAAGGTAAATGATACAAGCCTACAGCTGAGCAAATGCGAGCCAAAACGAAGCAACAGTATTTTTGCTGAGTCAACGCTTGTTTTGTTTGTTTTTCTGTGTTTGTTGTAAGTGAGCCAAAGTGAACGGCAGTGGTGTTTTTGTAAGCCTATTCAATGTCGATCGTTTTTTGTCCGTGAACATTTTGCGTGTTGTGCTTCCACGAATTCATTGTTTGTTGTAAGTGAGGCAAAGTGAGCCACAGTGATGTTGTGAGCCAATTGAGCTACCGGATGAGCATCCCTGCTTTAAGGTACAAAATCGCGTATCAAGATAATCAGCCTCATTGCGTAAGTCGTAAATTAGGTTAAATTGTACGACTCGACAACATTGGCATTGTCTACTGTCGTGCTGAAATAAGTAAACGACGAAAATAGTCGAAAGCTATGCAGTGCTGCCAAGTTTTCCCGTTTTAGTACACTAGTTGAGTCGAAATTTTAGGCAATGACATGAAATTTTCGATACGATTCGACTCTCGAAAAACGATTTGCATTCGACACTCACAATAAGGCTGAATGTAAAACCGCGTATGTGAGGTTGCATAAATTATTTTCTAGAGGGTAAAAAATAAAAAAATATTTCAAAATGGGTCTCTTTTTTATAAAGCAATCGCATTTCTGGCTAGAATATTTCAGGACGAATGGCTAAGGATTGAGCCAAGAGCTTGTGTGAGCAAATCCAATTTTTGGCAAAAAATGTCAGTTACGCGGTTTTGCAGAACGACGATACGCGGTTTTGTACTTTAAACGACGATATGCCAGAACATCTCATAAGCGAATGAGAAAGTGAGAGTGTTGGATTTTTGTTCGCTTTCCTTGAGCGAAAAATAGCTAAAATGTTGACAATTGTGTACCGAAAGCGAAAACAAAAGAAGGACCTGTAAGTTTTTATACCCGAGCGCGCTTGTGCACAAGGGTATCATAACTTTGTTCACATAACGGTTGTATGTATACATAAATGCTCAGATCACAAAAAGAAATCTATTAAGCCGTGACTGTCTATACGCCCGTCCGTCTGTACACACGATAACTTGAGTAAAAATTCAGATATCTTAACGAAACTTAGTACGTGTATTTCTGAGCCGAGGACGGATGATATTGAAAATGGGAAAAATCGGGCAATAACCACGGCTATCTTCCATATAACGGTAGTTTTCAGAAATACAAAAACTGCGATATTTTAAGATGGGCGTAGTCCCACCCACTTAAAATTACATGTGCATAGCTCGGTAACAGCTTCACTGATTTCTCCTAAACATGCCACGATTGTTGGTCCCGTTAAAACAAACCAAAGGGCTAAAAAATTTTAAAATCGGACAATACCACGCCCACATCCCATATAACGATAATTTAGCTAGAACCGAAATCTTCTATAAATCAATAAATACCGAACGAAATTAATTCAAAATTGACATTTACCATAAAACTTTAACAAGAAATACGTTTATAACAATATTTTGGAAAATGGCACCGCTCACTTATGACCACATATGTGGATCTTGGTAACCGTTCCATCAATTTCTCAATTTCTACCAAACTCGGTATAATTAATGTATGTACTTGACAGACAAAAGCAAGACATTGAACATTTTTGAAATCGGGCCAAAATGACGCCCACTTTTCATATAACGGTAAATTTCAGAAATACGGAAACTTCGATATTTCGTAATTTAAGGACGCTAATTACTCACAACAATCTCTTAAAAACAAATAAGATTATTATGGAGTTTTGGAAAATGGGCGTAGTACCGCCCACTTATAACTATAAAACTTTATCTCATTAAGTTTAACAGAACATACTATGTTTGAAATAGAGGTAAACCCCCCTGCTTACCATGTAACGATAGTTTTCGGCAAAGTGAAAAAGAAACTACTATATTTAATACGTGTGCCGGGTATTTAATTTTCGGCTTCCCCTGAACTTGGGCTTTTTAACCGACTTCAAAAAAAGGAGAAGGCTATCAATGTGTCGGAATTATTTATTTATTTTTTTATGTATGTTGCCGCATAACTTTGGACCACGGTAAGCGATTTCTATAATTCTTTTTTTAAAGGAAAGGTGTTAACCGAAAGGTGGTCCCATTACTAATTTGATTTAGATCCGATCATCGGATCATGAAGAAATTAACGATAATCTTAAATTTTTATATAGGAAGTGAAGTCGGTTTTGTTTTTTGTTTTTAATTTAATCATATGGATTCGCCTTGAAGTCTCGAAATAAAAGAGCATAATTTTTGCACCTTTCCTTCAGCGTAGCTGGAGTTGGACTTACGAGGGCTTTTTTCGATGAAAAAATTACATCGATGTTTATAACCATAATAGGGCGGAATATTGTCCATGGTAAGACAAATCAAGAGTATTAATTTAATTCATTTATATGTATGCAACATCGAAATAAGTATTTTTCTTGGTTAATTTATTTAAAAAAAATG